GTTGTGATTTCTTTGGGTTCTGTGGATTGTTCCTTATACATGTAATGCACCTGGAAACATTCTTTCACCAACCTAGATAAACCTGTAATGTAAAAATCCTGCAATAATGTTTCACATGTCGTTTTCCATCCTCTATGTCCTAGACCGTGGTACTGTGCAATAAACAATGGGGTACTTGACATGGGAATGCATGGTTTCCCCTCTAAGCACACTAGACCAGAAGCTGGATCTAGTTGTGCTCCAGAACCATCCCAGTCTGCTAGATCGACTTTTGTAGCAAATTTTTGTAAATCTGCATACATCTGGTCATGTGGGGTAGTTGTGACGCCTGAAGTGAGCAAAGGCATCTGCTCACTGGCCACCTGTTGTAATGCGGCTTCCTTTGCTACCTTATCTGCTATTGCATTTCCTTTGGCAATATAATCTCTGCAATTTGTATGTGCCCTGCAATGAAGAATGGCTAATGTTTTTTGTAACTGTATGGCTTTGAGTAGATCAGATATCAAAAAAGAGTGAGATATGGTTTTGCCATCAGCAGCAATGAATCCTCTTCTCTCCCAAATGACCCCAAAATCATATACAGCACCATGGGCGTACTTGGAGTCTGTGTAAATGTTGACATCCTGTCCTGCAAATAATTGACATGCTCTTGTAAGGGCAATCAGTTCGGCTGCTTGGGCTGACTGATATGGAATTGGCTTTGCCTCGAGTATTTTGTCAGGAAGTTGCACAATGCTATATCCTGCATGGTAAGCACTATCATTTGGCCTAGAACATGAGCCATCTACAAACACATCTGGGGCCCCATCAAGAGCCACAGCTGACATGTCGGACATAGGGGAAGTGTCTTGCTGTATGTGGGTTATACAGTTGTGTTCTGGTGCCACTTCATCCTGTTCCCCCTTTAGCCCCAGTAGGGCATTCAAAATTGGAATAGGACCTGAATTTGCTGAAGAATATTTAATAATCAAGTTGGGATCAGATAGAAGAATCACTTCATATCCGCTCAACCTTTGTGCTGACATGTGTTGAGTGTGTATGTTTTTCAGTAGTAAGGACACTTGATGTGTGGTGTGTAGGGTAGTTTCATGTCCCAATGTGAAAGAAATAGCCATCTCCACCAGAATTGCGCACGATGCAACAGCTCTCAGACAAGCAGGCATGCCCTGAACCTGAGTTGGCACTACTTTGGAAAAAAAAAGCTACAGGGCGGAGCTTGCCTCCATGTTCCTGAGCCAGGACCCCCGCCATGGTTGTACAATTTTCCCTAGCATACAGATGAAACATTTTCTTATAGTCAGGTAGTCCAAGACCAGGGGCTGTTACCATAGCATTCTTCAGGTACACAAAGGCATCAACCATTTCATTTGACCATGTGAGAATGTCAAAGTGTGGCAGACCTCAGAGTGTGATCATAGAATGAACAATCAGGTATCCATTGGCGGCAGTAACCAATCATACCAAGAAAAGTTAGCATGTCCTTCTTTGTTTGTGGGCGGGGGGCAGACCCAGGAGAGCCGCAGCTCTTTTGTGACTGACATTCCTCTCACCATGACTTAGAATAAAACCAAGGTACTCAACCTGTTTTTGGCACCATTGCAATTTCTTTTTAGATGCTTTGTGACCATTCTCTGACAACCATTCTAACAGAGACCAACTATCCTCCTGACTGGCCGCCTGACTTGAACTACAAATCAATAGGTCATCCACATATATAATGAGGACCGAACCATTGGGAGGGGTCCAGGACCTCAGAGTGGTCTGGAGGGCAAGTGAGTAGACTGCAGGCAAATCTACATAGCCCTAGGGCATTCTAAACCAGGTCATCTGGCGATTTTCAGAATATAAATACAAATAGCGCCCTTGTCTGGTGGTCCACAGGAACCGAAAAAAAAATGCATTTGTTAAATCAATCACTGTAAAATATTCTGCATCGGACGGAATGGAGGTGAGGAGTGATGGCACATCAGGCACTATTGGGGCTAATGGAACCACCAAAATATTTATGGCCCTCAAATCTTGTACAAACCTGTAAGAGCCATCCGGCTTCTTAACAGAATTTGATAGGTGTGTTGTAAGGAGAAACAGTTTCTTCTACCTTCTGTTTACATGCTGTAGCAATAGGGAGGGAAGCCTTATTCTTGAAAACCCTTTTTAATTCTGTGTCAAGCTCCCCCCACATAGTTTCTCTCCCTTCTGTGGTATTTAGTTTATAGACAGTAGCCTGTGTATTACTTGGTTCTATGTGACTAATGCTTTTTACATTTATCCAATCCCAAGCTGGATTATTTCCCAGAATACCATCAATGATCAATCTCATATCTTCTGTGTGTAATTTCTTCCTAAACATGCCTTTTTTAAATAAGCAAGTGTACCTCCAGGAGATACTGTAGGCTTGGGACAATGTTTAACAATCTTATTAATATCTTCTAATTCTATGGGTTTTTTTAGAATTAGTTCTCCTGCTGTGAGAAAAGGTAGTGTCAATATAGCCAACTCCTTTCCTCCTACGGCCCCCTCATCTTCTCTTTTTCCCTCTAGTTTCTTATCCATGGATCTAAGCTGCATTCTAAATTCCTCCACATCTCTGCCCTTTCTATGACTGGTGTCACTTCTTCTCCATTGACCATCCTTTTTCTGTAATTTTATTATATTTACCTGTCCCTGTTCTTCGTATTCCAACTCTCCTTCGTTGTCATTATTTTCCGTAAGGATGCTTGAAATTGGCTACCCTCTTCTGGTGACTTTATACTAATAATCTGTTTGGGTCTAGTGGAGGGGGGCCTGGCTGTATTGATTGTAGATCCGGGACGGGAAGTGGCGCAGGGACAGGGGCAGGGACTGGAGGGGCAGGGGCCGGAGGGGCATTAGCTGGGGAGTAGTCATCCCCAAACTAATCAAAAAATCATCAGCAGCAGCATTTTTAAAACCACTTAATGAAGGATATATATTATGCTGAGGGGGTGGGATTGGTGTCTGAACTGTTTTCAGTCCAATCTTGGGTCTGCATGTCTTTTCAGATTGATGCTTTTCCTGGCATATTTTTAATGTATCCAATTTCAACTTCCTCTTTTGTTTTAAAGAGAAAATCAAATTGAACTTTCCCTTGCTATTATCAACCCAATACGGTGACCATTTTAACCAGTTTTCTCCCCCTTTCTTCATATAAACTTGGTCCCATTATGGGTCCCCCTCATACCAAGGAAAGGCTTGTTTTGTCCCCCAAACATAATCCCTTAACCATGTCTGTATGAAAAGGATCATTTGCCCCCTTTCTTGGGAATGGGTCTGTACTCCCCATAGCTTCTGTCCAGCCTGCCATACAATCCACCCAGGGATTTATTAAATAATAGTCCGTTCCACAAACTCTAGCAACATAATCCTTACAATTTTCTCCCTTTTCTGGGGGACCTGGTGGGTAACTACCTCCTTGACCCATATTTAGACAGTGGATAAGACAATTTTACCTTAAAATCTTATTTTGTTCTACACAACAAATTATCTTATACTTCTACGCAACAGAAAGAAAAAGCAAAAGACAGATAAACCAGAATCTGCTCCACAGACTTATTAACCTCTTGATAACTTCCCAAAAGTTATCTCTTCACTGTTTTACCAAAAAACAGTGTGTTCTACCAGAGAACAATCTGTGTTTACCAAAAACACCTTTTTTTTTTTATAGTACACTATTTTGTAACTCTACCAAAGAGTTAAGTCTGCTTACCAAAAGCAGCTACAGGTTATCACGGGTCTATATAGACAATACAGAATGATTCAAGACCTTCCCTCAACACAGGGCAAGAAAGAGCTTTTAGTCATAAAAAGACAAAAGGTTTACTTACCAAGTGAGGTGGGTGGTCATCCCGGGCTGAGCCCCCAGCTGAAAGGAATGATTTTCTTTCCCCCTCAGAGACCCCCGGTCTGTGGAGAGATTCCTGGTTTATCAGCAGAATTCTGGGAACACCCCTTGAACACGGGAATAACGGCAGCTTATGTTCAGAGATGTTCAAAGTTTATTAGACATTAAAAAGATTATATAGACTACAGATAAAATAAAGGAGGGGGGGGGGAGCGAGTTTCAAAACTGTAACTTGTAAATTTCCATCATGAGCTAACTACATGAAACATAACATATACATTTCTTGGTACAAATTGTTTTGGCTAACTTTCTGGAAAACAGCCAGACAAAGACATTGTCAGGGTCATGTTAGCTTCTGTTGATACATCCCTGAACAACCAAAAACAGTTTCATTAAACTTAATATATCTGCAAAAAGCTAACTTAATACTTAAAATGGCGTACATAATACAAAATGGAAGTTATCTAGATCCTTTCACTCACCCCAGCAGTGCTGCCAGCTTTCCTCCTCCCTTCCTTTCCACCGGCAGCTGCAAGCACACAACAGGATTCTACAGGATGTAGAGTGGGGGAAGGGTCTGGTAGATACGTCACATTTACTAGCTCCTTCTTTCCTAAATGAATGAACATAATAGTGATTGGAACAGGTCATTCACTGTGTTCATTCATTACTGAAGCATAGTTAAACTGTGGGGATTTTTTTTTGGTGGAGGGGGCTATCAGGTTGGCTGTATAGGCCCCATGGTTTCTAACAGAAGCCCTGCAGAGGCCACAGTGGGGAGCAAAGCAATGTAAATCCTTAACAGGGAAAGGATCTGCTGCACAAAGCTCACAGCCAATAATGGTTACAGATCCTTTGCCGTTTGCCTGCCTTTTTTGGGCACTGCCTTCAAAGTTCAGTTCCTCTTTAAGAGCCCATTCCAGATATCATAATTGAACCAGATATATTCATTATTAAAATGTTACATTTATTTTACTCATTATTTTTACATTTATTTTACATGCCTTTAGTCCATGTTTTATGATTGTATTTTAAATAATAAAAATAAAATAAAAATTATATTTTATTTAGTGCACATAAAACGTTACATTCTTTGCTGGTCCTTCTACAAATTTGTATATGATTTCCTTTACCTACAGGTATGCTAACTGAAACAAGTAATATTTATTCATTTTGTTTTTATCTTTTTTGTTATCTTGACAGGTTCCGATGCATTGTTTATCCATTCAGGCAGAAGCTGACTCTACGAAAAGCCATATTCACCATCATTGTTATTTGGGTTCTAGCTCTGATTATTATGTGCCCATCAGCTGTCACTCTTACAGTGACCAGGGATGACTACCATTTTATGGTAGATGACTACAATAACTTCTACCCTCTCTACTCATGTTGGGAAGCTTGGCCAGACAAGGAAATGCGTAAAATATACACAACTGTTCTCTTCTCCCACATTTACTTGGCTCCTCTCACCTTGATTGTTATCATGTATGCTCGCATTGCATTCAAACTCTTTAAGTCTTCGGCCCCTATCCGAGGATCAGTCTCTGAAGAACATGAAGGTAGAAGAGTTTCCAAAAGGAAAGTAAGGGTAATAAACATGCTAATTATGGTTGCGTTGTTTTTCACATTGTCTTGGCTCCCCCTCTGGACCCTCATGTTGCTTACAGATTATGGAAATCTCAATGATTATCAATTGAACATAATTGCTGTGTATATTTTCCCCTTTGCCCACTGGTTAGCTTTTTTCAACAGTAGTGTTAATCCTATCATCTATGGTTATTTTAATGAGAACTTCCGTCGAGGTTTCCAGGAAGCCTTCAAAGTACAGTACTGCTCAATGAAACGAGAGCACAAGGAAACATATTCAGAGAGAAAGAACAGTGGGTTCGTCTTTGGAGTACGTAACCGAATCTTTGTGGAAGTGCAGCCCAGTGATTCAGCTCAAGGTTCAGACTCGGGCAACAGTACCACTGCCAAGCCCGGTATGTTCTCATTAAGAAGTGGAAGAATTGCTCATCATGGATTGGTGGTTGAAGAATTAGACAATAAAAGCTCCAATAATACTGTCAGCATACCAGCATGGGATATATGAAAATTCTTATTGCAGCACAAATAGGACATTATAACTACAGAGATGGTGTGTATCTCTGGATATTGGAACAGGGCTCCTAAAAAAAGACATCATATTACTGTATTTATTTCATATATGACAGCATAAAGTTCTAGCCAGTGGAAACTTTACATATAATTTGCACCAGTCTACAGATATGTTTCAGGTGATACGTGCAATCAGCTATCAACATTTGATGAGATTTTCATACACCATTATCACAGTGGTTACAGTAAGTTGTCAAACACATCTCAGTAGGTTTTCTGATGAAATACGGTGAGCTAAAAGATATGTGTTATGTGCGTGGAATATCTTTTTACATATTCTATTGAATGAATCACATTATGGTCTTGCAAAAGAGTTGGCCATGCTTATTCTCTCTGTTGTGCTATGCAGAGAGAGCACTGTAAGGTCAATGGGACCACTCTACTATTAAATATGTCGAGACAATCCCTGGACATTTTTTTAGCTTCAAAGATTGCCTGTTATGTGTCTCTACAAGTTGCATAGCATGACTTTTTTTAAAAAGAGGCTACCCTTCTTTAAGGAAATCTTGCTTTTAAATGTACGTTTATACCTTTTCTGACATTTTCTTCAATCAAAAAAAACACAATGAGTTTTAAACAAGGGTAAAAATATTTTGTGATCTAAAAAGCAGCAATTAATGCTTATTTAAAAAATATGTTTGCCCTGCTGTATAGTATTTGTACATGTTTATACAGATTTTTTGACATTCTATTTATTTTTTAAATGTATTTTAAGATTATTAAATCACCATAAAGCTAATTTATGAAAACTAGTGCAAAGGAAAAGTGGGGCTGCATCAAGATAGAAAACAGCTGTCACGTTTTCTAATGCTGTTAAGCAAAACGCCAGCATGTTAACAGTTTCCATGGGTGCACATGAAAATCGTATGGAACTCATGTAGGTACACTGTAAATGTATAATGTCACAAACTGTTAATAAAAAATGCTTAAGACATCAGACTGATTTAGACACAGTTACACACATGCACACACAATATTTCTATATATATTTTATTTAATACTAATAAAAATAGTATAAGTGGACATTACAAACAGTAATGGGATGAAAATGTAGATGACTAAATAAATGAAGAGACAGCAAACTGGTGCTTGTGAGCATACTTTTTATGCCTTCATCAGTGTGCCAGGAGCCCCTGAACCCCAGTATATTAAAGCAGAGCTGTTGTCTTCTAATAAAATATTAAATAAATATATATATATATATATATATATATATAATATTTTTTATATATATATATATATAAAATTATATATATATTGTGAGAACTAGGATCCAATTGTAAGGTTTTTCAGCACACAGCCACTCGCTTCTTCTTTTTAAGGGCCTTTTTGCCCAATTTTATTTAAAAGAAAGTTCAGTAACATGCTTCCCAAGCAGGGGTGTTCACCATTAAAACAAACAAAATTATTCAGCCTCCTGGCTCTCTTTATCAGCCCTGCTGGTTAGTAGTACCTCTATTTATATGGTCTCCCAGACCACTGGCTAGTCCCCAGCACACAGCATTGGACTCTTTGGATGCACACAGCCTCCTTCCAAAATATGGCTTTTTGCACACAGGTAGCAGCCCCTTGCTTCTCTGGCTTCCACCTCTCCTAGGTGAAGCCCTCATGACTGCTGGCAATGACCTCCTGTCTGCCAGGGTGGAGCCCAGAATCATGGTTTGGGCCTCTACAAAAAGGCCTGCACACACCTGCGCAATCAGTGTGCTGGCTGCTTTCAAAACCTGGACCCAAGATTGGAGATTTCATCCCTTCCAAATCTCTTAGAGATCTCCAGGCGCCAGGTCCCAAAACAGGCTTTACAAACCAAAGAGGAAACTGATAAACCAGTTTCCTCTGCATTAAGAGAACTGCCTGGAGCCGCTCAACCTGTATATGATTTTCACCATGGCAGGATACCGCACTGCCACAATATATATATATATAAAAAATATATATATATAAATATATATATATGTGTATATATATATATATATATAGATAGATAGATAGATAGATATACTGTATGTGTGTGTGTGTGCTACAGTTTTAGATAACAGATAAGCAGTGCCAGGACACGATCATCCAGTGCTCAGGGGAAAAATGGCAAACTGCGTCATCCTGGGTTCTTAGGAAAGAGTCAACGTCATTTCAAAATAAAATATTTCAAACAATACAAATTAAATTAGGTTTAATTAATCTGAAACAGAGCTGACTCACTTATTTTAATTATATATATTTTATTAGAGAAACTTAACAAGTGCAAATGAACACAGAGCTAGGTAAGCAGGGGTTATAAAACATTTTTTTGAGTGAAAATCTATGTTAACCAGTTCCAGTCTGGGCCAGTTTTGACATTCCTCTCCTCCATTTTTTGCTAGTAAACTACTTAGAACCCCATAACATTTATATATTTTTAAATTCAAGGCCATAGAGAATAAAATGGTGGGTACTTCATGTTCATGTTGCACAATATTTGCACAGCAGTTTTTCAAATGCAAATGTTTTGGAAAAAAATACACTTTAAAGAATTTTAATGCACAAAAACACAATATAATACCCAATTGTTTAGTAAAATATAAAATACAATGTTACACAGAGTAAACAGATACAGAATATGTCACTAAAAGTGCGTAAGCCCGTGGAACATTGCCACACTATTACAGTACCTAAAAATCTCCATAGGTGTCATACAAGAGGTCTGGTCCTAAAATGATTGTTCTCACTCTGGCATTTGCATTATTGGCACCAATGTCAGTGTTTATTAACCCCTTCATGCTGCAGCATAAATGGGTTATTAACACTGACACTGGTGCCAGTAACGCAGCACAAAGGGGTTCATTATGCCCCCCCTCCTTGTCCTGGCCCTGCAGATAAGTGTATCTTACAGTTTTTCCTTAGGCCCCCTGCAAAATTCCACTAATATCTGTTGGCCCCTGCAGTGAAGTCCACCAAGACAGCTTCTTGTCATGGTTTGGATGCTGCACTGCTCCTACATTTAGAGCAGAGTTGACACTCTCATGCAAGCTGTGCCTGCTTGCTCTACATTAAGACATAATAACTACAGACATCCCACCCAGAGATTAATAGCATCTCATATGCAGAGAGTCTGTGCTAGTCTGTACCTTTAAATAAAATAGTTACCTTCTAGGAAAGGTAATGTGGAGAATGTGACCCAGATTCAGTTGGCAGAGGGCTGATGTCACAAAGCCTCTTCAGACTCTGGAGGGATCCCAACTTTAATATCAAGATCTGCCCAGATGCCTGAGCAGCAGCTGGCTCGGTGCCATAGAGAGGCCGAGCCAGCCACTCCTGCCCCCTCCACAGCCTGTTGCTCCAGTGAGCACTGAAAGGGCAGAGCAAAGAGCGGCAACTAAAAGTCAAAGGCTTTCTGCTCTCTGAAAACTGATAACTGAGAGATCAGTCTTTTAAATTCCGCAATTGTCTTTTAAACATGCAAAATAAGGGCCGTCAGCTGTTGAAACATCTCTAGTGCTGCTTACAGCTTCACGTAAACAACATCCAATGCATGTTTCTTATTAGAACAATATGCTTAATCCCAGACACTATTATATTTACAATGTTGCATTTTTCATACTAATACATATATAGGAAAACAAATATCTTCCCTCCCCCAACACTAAGGTCCCTTTTAGACAGGGCATACTCCATCCCAATTTGCAGGGGATCCATTCACATATCCCCTGATGATCAGAGCAGAGGGTGTAGATGATACATCTGTGTCTGCTCAGTTTATGCAGAGCAGACACAGACAGAGCCCGCCCTGTTCTATGACCAGCCAGGAGTAATTGGAATCCGCTATCTATTTACACCTGCCTACCCTCTGATCTGTTCCACATAAATGGAAGAGGACAAATCCCCTTATAGGTTTTTAGCACACTGGATTGGACTCAGAGACAGGCGGGTGTAAACAGACACATGTCCGTGTACACCCACCTACCCATAAAGGTGAATGGACCATCTGATCAGGTCCACCTGAAAAACTGACAGGTAGACCTGATTGGACCTGCCATGTGAAAGTGGCCTTATTAAAACCTTAGAAATGTATTCACCTTCACTTAGAGCACTGAATCAATCACCAATAATATCTTTATATACTGTATACACACAACTATAAACTAAAGAAGTATTCAATACTAATCAAAATTATAATAAGCACAAGCATCATAATAACAAGGAATTACCTGTAGTCGTGGGAAACATCCCCTTCATGGATATAGCCCAGTGGTCTCCAAGTTATGGCCTAGGGGGCCAGATGTGGCCCTTTGCCTCCCTTTTCTTCCCTTGCTGTGCTACTCCTCCCACTGACATTAACATTGGGACATAATTCCTCCCACTGACACTAGTGATGAGGTACTATTTTTCCCACTGACACCAATGATGAGATACTATTCCTCCCACTAGTACAAATGATGAGACAGTCTTCCTCTCGCTGACATCAATGATGGGACACTATTCTTCCCACTGACTCCAACAATGGGGTATGATTCCTTCCGTTGACATCAACAATGGGGCAATATTCCTCCCACCTACACCAACAATACCAAAAATAGGGCATTATTCACTCTCACTGACACCAGGACATTTTCTACTTGCACTGGTCACAGTCCGGCCCCCCTACAGTCTGGAGGACAGAAAAATGGCCCTTTGTTTAGAGAGTTTGGAGACCCTTGATCTATTCTACATATATATATATATATATATAGTTACATAGTTAGTCTGGCTGAAAAAAGAAAAAAGACCATCAAGTTCAACCATTAAAAAATAATAATAAATATACCGTATTTATACCATAATAAGACATATAACAAAATGAGGCAAATTCAGACCTCATAAACAGAGGAAGTGCAAGCGGCATTGCTACCAATTAGCTAAATAACATGTATCTCTGTGAACACATGAAATTCATGCTGGCCAGGTGCGGACTGACCATTT